TGTTACTTTGTGGCTAGGTCGCTTTTCCATATAAATAGAGGGGTTCTATTCCATTGTAATTTATCTCAAAATCAATAGAATTCTCTCTCCCTTTGCTTTCCAATATTCTTTTTTTCTTCTATTGTTTTATTTCATGTTATCAACACGAGACTCTACCGTCTCAAGAAGTTCTTTGAGAAGAATAAGCAAATATGGATATCTCATAAAGCAAACTTAGATCAAAGTCCAATTGTAAAAATATTTGTTTAATATTCATGTACGACAAATAAAATATTCAAATAGAAGAAATACTTCTCTCATTTAAATATGTGTAAGGCAGATGTTACTACAATTTCTGGTAGTAATAATTTAATTGAAGGTTGTAGAAGAGCTACTATAATTTTGCCTAAGGGAACAATACTTATCATATATAATGCAATATTCTCCTCTAAGTCCAGGAGGAACTTGTTGAGTTTTAAAGATATCCGCCGAAATGGATATCATATTAAGACAACGGATGAGAATAATCTTGAATATCTCATCTATTATCTATGGCCAGAAAAAGGGTTATTGAGAAGTTCACATCTTTGTCTTATGGCATGTATTAGACAAGAATGAGTGCAATTGAGACACATTATATCGTGAACCAAAATGTTACTGATTCCAATACTTTTGTACTTTGGCATGGTCGATTGGGACATCCTGGATCAATTATGATGATACGAACTATGAAAAACTCAAATGGACATCTATTAAAGAATTTAAAGATTCTTTTAAATAATGAATTTTCTTGCACTTCTTGTTATAAAGGCAAGTTAATTATTAGACCATCACCAATAAAGGTTGGAATTAAGTCCCCTGCGTATTTGGAATATATACAAGGGGATATTTATGGACTTATTCACCCACCTAGTGGGTCGTTTAGATATATGGTTTTGATAGATGCATCTTCTAGATGGTCTCATGTATCCCTATTGTCATCCCGCAACTTGGCGTTTGCAAAATTAATGGCACAAATAATTCGATTACGGGCACAATTCTGCGATAATCCAATTAAGTTTATTAGACTTGATAATGTTGTTGAGTTTTCATCCAAGCATTTAATGATTACTGCTTATCAATTGGAATAAAAGTGGAACATCTTGTAGCTCATGTTTACACTCAAAATGGCATTGCAGAGTCTTTGATTAAACATCTGCAATTGATAGCAAGACCGTTACTCATAAAAACGAGGTTACCCGCTTCTGTTTAAGGTTATGTCATTTTGCATGCAGCAATGCTAATTCATCTCAGACCAACAAATTATCATAAATATTTTCCGTTACAATTAATTTTGGGTTATGAACCTAATATATCCCATTTAAGAATATTTGGATGTGCAGTATATGGTCATATTGCACCAAGATGGGTCCCTAAAGAAGGTTAGAAATATATGTTGGGTTTGGATCACTCTCCATTCGCTACCTCGAAACAACGATTTGCAGATTACCGATTCGATGAGATATTTTCCCCAAAATTATGGGAGAAAATGGTGAACCAAACCGAAAATTTTGCGAAAAAATCCATCATTATCTCATCTTGATACATGTGCCTTTATTTGTGAAAAAAGGTGCAAAAGATTATCCATTTACAGAAAATAGCAAATCAAATGCCGAATGCATTTATGGATCTAAAAAGGATAATGAAATCACATATCCCTACAGAGAATGTTTCAATCCGTATTGATGTCCCTGTTAGACAATCTTATAATATCATAGCTAATGAGTCAAACACACGTCTAAAGTGTGGCAAACCATTGGGTTCTAAGGATCGAAATTCTAGAAAAAGAAAAATAAATGATCAAGATGACACTACGAAAGAGTCTTATAAAGAAATCCATGATTTAACCAATCCTGAGATTCATGAGGAAATCACTGAGCCGGAGACTCGAGAAAATAAGGAACTATCAATAAACCTAATCGACATTGAGATGAATTTGAATCAATTGGATATAGTGGTGGATTATGTCTTTGCATATAATGTTGCATCTAACATTATACAAAGATAGCGAGGATCTTAAACCTCAATCTGTTAGACAATGTCGACAAAGACATGATTGGCCAAAATCGCAAGAAGCAATCCAATCTGAGTTTGATTCACTTGCGAAACATAAAGTTTTTGGGTCTGTAGTCCAAACACCTAGTGGTGTTAAGCGTGTTGGCTATAAATGAGTCTTTGTACGTAAGAGGAATGAGAAAAATGAGGTATAAAGATATAAGGCATGCCTTGTTGCACAAAGATTTTAACGAAGGCCTGGTGTCGATTATAAAGAGGCGTATTCTCCTGTTACGGATGCAATAACATTTCGTTATATCATTAATTTTGTTGTCCATGAAAAAGTTGACATGCATTTAATGGATGTGGTTACGGCCTACTTTTATGTCTCACTTGATAATGAGATATATATGAAAATTCCCGAAGGATTTAAAATGTCTCACATACATAATTCAAAGTCCCATGAAATGCGTTCAATCAAATTGTAAAATTTTTTGTATGGTCTAAAGCAATAAAGAAGAATGTGGTATAACCACCTTAGTGAGTATTTATTAAAGGAAAGTTATATAAATGATGTCATTTGTCCATATATTCTTATAAAGAAAATAACATCGAAATTTATTGTACTTGCCGTATATGTTGATGACATAAATCTTACTGCAACTCCTACAAAACTCAAAAGGAAATTGATTATTTAAAGAAGGAATTTGAGATGAAAGATTTTGGAAAGACTAGATTATGTCTCAGTTTGCAAATTGAACATTTGGTAAACGAGATTTTTATTCATCAATCTGCCTACACAGAAAAGGTATTGAAACAATTTTACATGGATGAAACACATCCATTAAGTACTCTGATGGTTGTTTGATCACTTAATGTAAATAAAGATCTATTCCAACCTCAAGAAAAGAATGAAGAGTTTCTTGGTCCTGAAGTATCATATCTTAGTACAATTAGTGCACTAATGTATCTTCCTAATCCTACAAGACCTGACATAACTTTCAGTTAATATATTAGAAAGATATAACTCTGTTTCTACAAGGAGACATTGGAATAGAATCAAACATATATTGGGCTTATTTTATGACAGTAATTGCAATCCTGATCTTGTTGGTTATGCCGATGCTGGGTATATATTTGACCCACACAAGACTCGTTCTCAAACAGGCTATGTGTTTACATGTGGAGACACAATCATATCTTGGCGATCACTAAGAAATCAATCGTGGCTACTTTATCTAATCATGCCGAGATAATTGCTATTGATTAAACAAGTCGAAAATGTGTGTAGTTGAGGTATATAATACATTTTATTCGAGAAAAGTGTGGTTTGAAGTGTGATAAACTATCTACGATTTTGCATGAAGACAATGCAACATGCATAACCCAATTGGAGTGGGGATTCATAAAAGGAGATAAGACAAAGCAGATTTCACCAAAGTTATTTTTCACACATAATCTTCAAAAGAATGGTGATATCAACGCACAACAAATTCGTTCAAGTGATAATATGGCTGATTTGTTCACCAAATCTCTACTAACGTCAACCTTCAAAAAGTTAGTGTACAAGATTGAGATGCGAAGGCTCACGGATGTGAATTGATGCTCTCATCAGGGGGAGTTAATACGCATTGTACTCTTTTTTCCTTATAAGGTTTTGTCCCGCTGAGTTTTTCTTGCAAAGTTTTTAACGAGACAACCAAAAGTCATATTTCTAAACATGTGTACTCTTTTTCCTTCACTAAAAATTTTTTCACTAGGTTTTATTTTAGTTAAGGTTTTAACGAGACACATTATCTATTGAATAGACATTCAAGAGGGAGTGTTATAAAAAGAATTGTATTTAAGGTGAGTGTGTATATTTTAGAGACATTTTAGGATTTGTTACTTTATGGCCAAGTCACTTTTATCCTATAAATATAGGGATTCTATTCCATTGTAATTTTTCTCATAATCAATATAATTCCCTCTCCCTTTTCTTTGCAATATTCTTCTTTTCTTTTACTACTTTATTTTAATAATTTTAATTTCGCAAGTTATCATGTTTCATTTTCAACTTGAGCAAGAACACATAACTCTTGAAAACCTACGTAGTAAACATATCAGTATGCAACTAATAATTTACGAATGTCAAATGAATAGAAAACCAAAGGTGCAATAAAAATCAGTAAAAGAAAAACACTAAAAAAGAATACTAAAGCAAGCGAGTGAAAGAAAGGAGTTCAAATATAATATAAATTATATTATAGTGCATATATAAAGTTCAAAATTAGCATGGAAGAAATTTATATGATTATTATACATTATTTAAATAAATCCATAATTTACAGAAGGTTAAAATTTAATTAGTTTTAAAATTCTAAATATAAGGTCTTACTACAAATATGGAGAATTTAATAAAAAAAAGTTTAGTTAACCTCAAAATATTATGGAGTAATTATTAATAAAAACAACATTAAAAAATTATGTAATTATTTTGCGATGAAAATTTTATGCTCAAAGAATTCTTTTTTACGTGTCTTCTTGACAAGTAAGCTAACGCTTAGCCTTAAAATTTTTCTAATTTTTAGTACTACGAATTATACTTATATTACCTACTTCAATTAGGAAGAATGTAACGTAATTCTTAAGTGATTTTAAAGTGCTAAATTTTAAAAATCTATAAAAATATTTCAAACGAGAAAAGATTTAATAATTAAATTCTAGTTAATTTTAAAGTGCTAAATATTAGAAAAATAACTTAAATTATAATTTTATCTAATATACAATCTATTTTTAAAAGATAAAAATACAAATAATATTTTGTTAATAATTTTGGTACTTTTCAATATAGCATAAATATAAATATAGATACATTAAATTGAATTCTTTTACGAGTTTAGAGTGTTCTTTGCAATTTTTTTTAGTTTCTCACCCCGCTATCGGGTACTTATATTGAAATCCAATTATATCCAGGTTCCCAAACCCAAAGCGGTAGGAAAGAGTAGTCCCATCCTTAAATGGTTCTCTGCATCTTTATATATATCTTGATTGTCTAAAGACAATCGGTGTATATAACTTAAAACTTTTTCGCGAAATACTAAAGTTGATATGGAAGAAGCAAAACACAAAATCCCCCAAAACAAAAACCCGAAGGGAAGAGAAAATTTTCGGAAGAGAAATATATATAGAGAAAGCGAGAGATCAGTGACTGTTGGGGACAGAGGGGAAAATGGAGGGAGTAGAAGGACAGGGCTCAAGTGGTTACACTCTACAACCAAGTCAATTAGCAAGCGAAGACATACTATTCTGTGTAGATGTAGACAGCGAATCAGTCGTAGAAATGAAGGTTACGGTAGCGGGTGGGCGGCCATATAGCAGATTAGACTCCTTTAAGCAAGCCATCCTTCTCTTTATCAACGCTAAGCTTACCATTAACCCAGATCACCGTTTCGCTTTTGCTGGTCTTGGCAAATCTGCTTTTTGGGTATGTACTCAACTCCTCTTTCTTCCGATCTCTCTTAATTACTCCATCTTTTGTAATTTGTAGTACTCACCCCATAAATTATGTGATACTCTTTTGTTTTAGTATGTCTCAAAAATAATATTCCTATATTTAGAATTAATTTAATTTTAAATTTCTCACTTTACCCTTAATAAAATACTCCTTCCGTTTCTATGGCTTATTAGTTCATTCCAAAAAAAAATAAGGCATTTCTATATTTGGAAACAATTTAACTTTAAATTTTTTCCGGTTTACATTTTTATCCTTAAGCCTTTTAAGCCTTTTAATCACAAGTTTCAAAACTTTCTTTCTTAATAAAAGTTGTGTGTCTAGTCAAACAACATTGGGATGGAGGGGTGAAAATCATTTACATCCCCCAACTTTAAACAATTATCGTTTTCATCCTTTCATGTACGCAATATGTATTTTACCCTTGACATTTTCAACTCTCCATATATGTAATACCTTTTTCATATTATTTAGATATTTTTTAATGCATGTATTTATTCATAAGTTAAAAATATTTTATCTTATTATATAATTTAATCTAAGTTCACTAACGTTATAAATAAAATAATTATATTAAGAAGTTATTACAAAATGTATTGCTACTTTTTTATTATTATTATTATTATTATTATTATTATTATTATTATTATTATTATTATGTATATTAAAATGCATATAATGTTTGGTATATGTGTGATTTTAAGTTCCACTATTTTTATTATTCTCTGTGTATATAATTTTTGAGTTTTGATTGTTATTACTAGATTTTTTCTAAATTATAATTAAATTTCATGAAAAGTGTAAATAGATAATTTTTGCAAATTTATTATAAAATTTACCTCTATTTTACGCCCATTATTTTTTTTATTACTTGTATTGTAGTATAATTTATAAAATTGTCACTCTCGTTTATTCTCAATTTTGTAAATAGATTGAGTTTTGATTGCTATTAGTAAAATTACTGATACGAGTAAATTATTTATTGTAATTTTTTATTTTTCTCATTTATTTCACTAGTGAACATCATTAACTTATATGTTTGACTACAACTTCTCACTTTTTTTGGTTTCGATTTTTTTAATTTGTCTATTCGTAAATAGATAACATAAATTAAAATAAAAAAATATCATTATATTAAAAAAATAAAAATAAGAGATAAAAATTATAGAGGGTAAACTAGGAATTTTAAGAAGTCACCTTTGATACGGGGAGTAGAATGATAGTTGTTCAAAGTTGGAGGATGAATTTGATTTTAAAACAAACTTGGGGGATGTAATTGATTTTTACCCGATGGAGGGAGTAATCATTTCGTGGTGCTAATAGATTGCTGGTCGAACTTTGACTTATGTAATGCTCATAATATATTAGAATGCCATATACTCGTATGCAATTGATGAATATTTTGATTTTGCTATCTTTCCATAGTGATACTTGTTCTTTTTCAAAAAAATAAAAGTAATTGGACAAGCCCTTTTCTGTTTTTTATATAAGGCAATTATAATATTTCCAATCAAAGAGCAAGAAGAACATTCACAAGCTGAACTACAATAGTATTTCCTTTGTCTTGTTGTTGTAAAACGCAAAATGTATATGATACAATTATGTTAATACTTGATAGACTTTCTCGGTGACCTTGCTGACTAGACTCAGCGGCGGAGCCAGATTTCAACCTTATGGGTTCTAAATTTTAGAGCGACGACTTCAAGTGTTAGTGAATGGATGCTAAATTTAATATTTGTACATATTTAATGCATTCTAAACACCAAATACACTGTTTGAGCAAAAACTATTGGGTTCGATCGAACCCGTAGTTTGGCTTGTGTCTCTACCTCTGACTAGACTACTGGGTTTTTGTAATGCTCCTGTTGCAAGACCATCGCAATGCTGCTGATTAATCAAATTTTGCTTACCTATCCCAAAAAAGAAAAGAGGATAAGAAGGAAAATTAATTCATGTTATCATATTCGCTTTTACTCTGGTTCAATTGGTGGACTTTACTAAGCTTGTCTTTTGTATCTTCTGTGTGGCATTTGATGGAAGATTACCAGTTACAACAGCTTGATTAATCCCAAAGCAAGATTTTAAAAATGCTCTCAGGCACATTCCCCAAAGCTACTCTCTTTCCTACTTTCTAGGTCTGTAGAGCTGATCTTTCCGGTGTACTATCTCACCTGAATCTTCCATTTCTTTCGCAAAACCCAGTGTTCACCCACTGTGAACATTGTTAAAAATTCTTCTTTCTTCTTTTGTTTTATTAAGATAAAATTGTACTTGTTAAGCTTACTATGAGGGAGAGCAACATTATCTACTTTGCAGTGGGTTTCAAGTCATATGACATTGAGAGATGTTCATCAAATGCTGAAGAATGGTACGAGTGGACAGAAAGAGGAAGATATCTAATTAGAAGAACAACTTTCAGCAGGAGGACGATGATGTGGCTGTGCGAAAACTTAAAGGAAGCATCAAAGACGAAAGGAAATTATGTGAGAAGATGGAAAACCAAAGATAATTTTTCAGAAATATTCTTCGCAAGGAACTATAACAAACACGGGCGTTATATAACCATCATTTGGGTCCAAGGCAGGGGGAGGTCTGTTATTATAGTCCCAGAAGTATCATTTAATGCAGGATGGTTAGACATGCAACAAAAATCGAAAGGTTCATTAATAGCGGGGTATGGAGGAATGTCATTAATGCTCCCAAAATCATTGAGGAAGGTCATCTTTACTCAAACACTATCAGGAACCATAATTGGGCAAGCAGAGAAATGAACGAAGCAATGGTCCAACAAGAAGAAGACACTATTTGCATCTCTGGTGATTCAAACAATGAATTACTCGGCAGATGCCTGGTGGCTTTCTTCCCAGAAGAAATCTCAGAAATTGCAACTCTAACAGATGTTCGTAGATGGGCATCAAACTCCTGGAAACAAGCACATGGAACTAGTATCTATGAGATGAACCAAAATCGATTTCTCTACGAATTCCACTCAAAACAAATAGCTGATCATGTACTGGAAAGTGAATGGTATTGGAAGCAACTCAAAGTTAAGCTTCAATGGTGGAATCCGATGGTGGGGTCAATCCCAAGAAATAAGAAGATAAATCACGTATGGATTAGGCTTCTTGGGCTCCCATTACATTTATGGTCCCAAAAAGTGTTCAAAGAGGTGGAGGAGTTTTGTGGTGGTTGGATCCAAACGGAGGAGGAGACGGAATTGAAAAATCATTTGAGATGGGCAAGAATTAAAGTTAGAGGAGATGGCTCTTCAGTTCCAAAAACTGTGAAGATAAAATTTGAAGAGATAGTTTTCGAAATCACAATCTGGTGCAAAACTCCGGTGAGAGTGCACGATGAGGAGATCGGAGAAGAAGATTGTATAAACCAACAGGTAAGAGAAGGCATGCATATGGCAGGGGGACGGGCTCAAGGTTTTAAAAGTGTGATGGGGCACGTGGGGTGTTCTAATCAGGTACAATTGATATTTTAAAAGTCATGTGACTTGCCATGTGACTTTTTAATGGTCAAAAACAAAGTTGCCAAGAAACATAATAGAAAGGAATTGGGCTCATATTTTATGGCCCAATTAATATTTGAGGAGAAGGCTTCAAAATGGCCCAATGAAAAGATCAGACCAGATCCACTTAATGAAGAAATGGTAGCGATACAATCCAAGCAATCTGAGGGAACCCAATTAATAACACACACAGTAGTAGTTAACAGAATCCTCGACAAATCAGAATCAGAGGAAGAAAAGACAGAAGCCGATGGAGATAAAGAAAATCCTCATGAAGAGACATTGGGGGATAACACTATGTCAATTATTGAGGATCATGAACAGAAGGGAGTAGATACGGAATATTACAACATGAACATGCAACCAAAGGAATCAAACTTGTTTGTGGACTGGGCAATTGAGGAAGCTGTGCCACTGAATCATCAAAGCTTAGAGGCAGAAGAGGACCTGGAATTTGAGGCATCCATCTGGGTGCACCAGAACATTATAAGATTAAGCAAAGAATTTGGGATGGATTTTAATGGGTGTGAGAAAGAAGCACTGGAACTTTTCATGAAAATTGATAACAGAAGGCAAGCAAATAAAGGGAAAGAGCTTTCGCAGATTGTTCAGACTCCAAAGAAGAAGGGAATCAAAGAACTGAAAAGTTTAGAGATTGGGAGCAGCTTCAAGAGTAATGGAACTAGAGGGGGGGGGGGTTACATCACTAA